ACTACTAGTTGAGTACGCCCATATTTGAACGGTGGTTCTCGTTGTCCATGATACAAGCACGTTCCATTTTAATTTCGATATTTTCGTAATGCTCGTACATGCAAACGGATATACACTCGAATTCAACGGTTACGGAATGTGATTAGAAAATGTGTATATGCAACTAATTATACACACTTTTAATCTCGCCCACTTTTCGACTTGTTTATTTTTAACTGGAATATGTCAAAATTAGAAATCTTAAAATAACGATTCTGATCAAACGAAAATATTCCGGTTTATACATGGTATTTCATTTATAACTGAAAAAAAACAACTTCCTGACTAAATACAATTTTTCAATTCAGTGACAATTGAGCACGTATCGTGTTTGTAAATTTGAATTTCTTTCATTACGGGCCTGATGTAAGCGACTAACGTCAAAGGCAAAGTAGGTATGCATCTTATTTCAATTGTTATAACCATAACTTATGATAAGTGTTGAATTCCTATTCCTATTGTTCTACGTTTTCTTAAAAACTTTTCTACAAAACGCTAGGTGGCCAGGGTTCTTTATGAATCACTTCTAAATATTCCGTAATCATTATAATTTCTTTTCTATTTAAAAAAAATAATACTCGTTATAATGAAGCTACATTAGGTCTACTTCAGCAGTAGGATCATGGAAATATGGGAGACTACGCTCTGACGCTATGTACATGCCTGTCCATGTATGTACGAAATCAATCGTATTTCGTGAAAACTGAAATTGCAGGCAAAAATGTAAATCTTGTCAACAGAAATAATTCCCGTCCTATTCAAGCACGTTATCACTCTCAATTTCAATGCACATCTATTTATAAACAATGATTTTCCTTTTACACATCTGGGCACAATTTTTGTTGTCATACGTATCTATTTCTTCACTGCCATCTCACGGACCATAACGCGAGTGCATTTTCTTCGGCTGCACCGTAAGTTAATACCAAACATAATCAACAACAAAAAAGCAACTAATTCCTACGTAAACCTACGTAAGATGAATTTTCGTAGAATCAGCTGGCAATTGTAACTAATTTGGAGTTGGGACTTTCCTTGCGGAAACCTTAACTCTAGCGAGTGAGCTACAGTCTAAGCTTGCTATACTAAACGAGTTCATCCGTCGCCATTCACAAGACGCGCCCCTAAGTCCCATGTGCGAGGACACAGTGTCCGACATTTCTTCCGCTCCTTCCTAGATTCACTGGCTTCACTGAAGCAGAGAAGCGTCGCAACAAACGCCGAAGACAAACACCCTTCCTATCATCGTCTTCGTCAACGTCTGCACACAATGAGTCGGAAACGGAGCAACCAAGTCAAGCCTTTAGAGTTCTCCCAGCCATTGTTATCCGCCAAAAGTCCCTTTGGCAAAAAATTCGTAAAGCCATGGAAATCTACGGTATTACCGATTCGATCAAAGTCTTTACCCCAATTCCGTGGACGATTTTCGTCGACTATCGTCGTACTTCGACGAATCCAAGGTTGAGTTCTCAACCAACCAACTTCAATAACACAGAGACCTTCATGTCGTCCTCAGTGGAGTCTGTGAAGCCATCTCCACAGACGATATTCAGTCCGAACTTGTTAATAAAGGCTTCGCTATCCAGGGTGTCCATCGAATGTCAAAAGGTGGAAAAATCTGGCCATTAGTGTCCGTCGGTTTCGACACGTCTTCCCCTAAGTGCAAGTCAATTTTCGAACTTCTGCGGCCGCAATCATGTTACCGCTGAATGCAAGACAAAAGACAGAAAAGACGCGACTCCCCCCTGTGCGAACTGTAAAGGGACCACCGCGTCACCAATCGTGGCAGTTTCAAGGTACCTAAGAAAACCGTATCCCGCAAAAAAAAACCGTTCAAGCAATCACCCATTCTTTAGCCACCCCCGTAACGACGCTCCTCCAAAAGTTTTACGCCAGTGAAAGCAGCCCCTCACTCCCATTCAAAAGTCCAATGCAACCCCTAGCATCTCTTTAGCATCAGTTGTTTCCCCAACTCTGGAAAAGAAACTCCAGGTCATCGTGCAAACGATGGTAGTCAGTATAGTTGCCGCCCTCTGAACACCTACCCATGGATAAAATAACCCAACCAAATCATCTTCGAGTAGTTACATGGAATGCTTAAAGTTTTAGAGGTAAATTGACTAATCTTGAACACTTCCTCGAGGAACAGTCAATCGGTGTCTCCTGCATCACCGAAACTCACTTATCGCAGAAAGTCAAACTTTTCGTCCCAAATTTCAAATCCTATAGAAGGGATCGCGAAAACTTCCGAGGCGATAGCCTAGCAACTCTTTACAACACAGGCCTGCCTCTTTGGTCACTAATTCATTAGAAGCAGTTGACATTGAAGTTTCTCTAACTTCCGCCTCCTCAGAATTATTTCCCTTTACCCATCTGATTTAAATCTTTAGGATTTCCCTCCTGCTCCCCCCAAACGTTTCGACCATCGTTGAAGGCGATTTCAATGCGAAACACGCCTCCTGGGGCTGCCGACACACTAACAGAAAAGGCATTTCCCTACTTGCCAAAGTTGAACCTCGCCGTTGAAGCTCTCCCAGATCCTGCGTATATCCCTGCCTCCCACAATCAACTTCATTCTTGACACTCCAACCACTTTCCAGCCCTAATAGAAATCGGCCGTTCAACCCTCAACCTCCTAAACCTTACAACTTCGATAGACTGGCTACGTCTCCGATACACTCTCGAAACATCGTCCTTCAAGTGCACTTCAATACGCACAATAATGGAACTCGATGAAGCTGTCGATCTCCTTTCAAACGAGCTCTTCACGACCTACCGCCCCTCCTCCTCTCCAGAAAAACCCATCCCCGCAGACATTCTTGCCCTTGTCAAGACGAAAAACAAAACCAGCCGTCTCTAGCAAAAAAAACGTGATCCCGCACACCGCACAGATCTAAACGCTCTCCACCGCGAACTTAAAACTCGCCAAACAGAATTCCGAAGCGCCACCTTCGAAATCGCTCAGGCAGAAAGACATCCTAAAAGCACTTGGAAAGTGATTCGCTCTCTTCGAAACACAGGGGTTTTAGTCGATAGGCGCTTCGGCGAATCCGATACTACCCCCCTTAAGGGAGTGTCTTTTGAATATTTGTCCTCCCCGAGGAAAAACAAAAAAAAAAAAAACAACCCAGTTAAGATGCAAACAGAAGAGCTACGAAATCATAGTCGTCGTGTTCACTGACAATGTTCAAAGCAGTTTCCAACGAAAGTTGTAGAAGGAATATAAATTCCAATAGGCCACAGTTCGTCACTCCGGAAAATTCTATACCCCAGACTCCCACCGTGAAAGCCTTCACTCGTAGATATCCCTCATTGTTGAGACAAATCTTTACTTTTAAATATCTCTGTTTCCATTATGACAATTTAAGTGAAATTTACAGAAACAGTACAAGTAAAATTAGAAATAGTAGCATTAAACTTTCCAAAACGTACAAGAGTTATTATAAAATATTTTCGAATTTTTATCACTTGCTGTTATACCAGAAGTTAACACTACTCTGCTCATCAAAATTAAGGATAATGTTGATACTTGTACACAATACAACCGTACTTTGACTCAACAGTTTTTGAGTTATTTCATTTTCCATTACATTTGTTTGCCGCATATACCTTTATCGCAATATTCTTTAAAACTAAAAGGTAGGTATAAAATCGTCTAAAAATTGTCATCAAAACATATTTGAATACCATATACATAAATTAATAATGCAAAAGAATTTTTTTTAAACATATTTCTTGATACCATTACCAGCTGTGAGAAATTTTTAAAAACCCGATTTAATGCAGCTTTTTTACTTTTACAATTATTTTACTTAAGTAAAGTGTTAAAGCTGTATGTTTGGAGCACGGCGTTGTACGGTTGCGAAACATTGACAGTGGGCGCGGTAGAAAAGGTTAGAAGCCTTCGAAATGTGGTGTTATAGGCGAATAATAAGGATAACGTAGGTAGAAAAGGTTAGAAATGAAGAGGTATTAGAAAGAATAGGAGAAGAGAGGACTCTATGAAAGTCAATAAAAAATAGGCGAGATAGGTTGGTAAGACACCTTCTCAGGCATGAAGGTCTAGTCAGAGACATATTAGAGGCAGAAACATGACTTAGGAGGGGTAGAGGTAGACCTAGGTTAGATTACTGTTCACAAATAGTTAAGGATGTGGGTTTTTCTAGTTTTAAGGAAATGCGAAGTTTAGCTCCGGATAGGAAAGAGTGGAGGTACGTGTCTAACCAGTCTTAGGACTGACGACCCTATGATGATGATGAAGTAAACACGTAAAGTTAAATAACGACAAAATATTATTTTACAATTTCTCTAGTTCACAAGTTTAAAAAAAATGTGGTATTATTTCGGTACACAAGAGCAATATCCCGCTGGAAAAAATGTTTCCACCGATTTTTCATAAAATGGGTCTATTGTTAATTAATAATTTATTTTCGAGTATGCGTCGGACAATTGATAAATAAAAACCACTGAAATTATTTCACTTCATGAAGAAACAAATTTTATGAATAGATAATTACACACTTTTTGAAAATTTGTTGTTTTTTTATTCGTTAGAAAATACCGATTTATAAATATGTGTAATTGTGCTGTCAGCACAGGGCAAAGTAGTATTACGTAGTTAGTATCAGCAATTTCTGTTGAAGTGTTCGATGTGTTGCATACCTATTTACAAACAATGAGTTGTGTATTGTATATTCATAAAATGTATCATATAAAATGGTCAAGTAAAATAAAGGCTGTAAAAGGTTTATCAGCCTTTAGCAGTATTGTCTAGCTTTAATACCACATCGCCGAAGCTAGTCATGGAGATTCATGTCTATAAAGATTTTTGTTAAGAATGTCAAAAAATTTTGTTTCCCAAAGTAACAAACGATTTTTTATCTATTTTCTTATTTAACATGTGGAAAACTAAGAAATAGTATCTTGTTTCAAATTAAAAAAGAAATATTAATTTTTCATACCTGCAGTACTGCATATAATATATGGGGTTAACTTCCTTTAAGACCTTCTCTAATAAATCTGCACGTCTTTTTTGCATTTTACTTTGATTTTCCATATTATCATCAAAGAAAAGGAGGTTTTTATATAATTGACTTTTATCTAATAATATATCAATATAATCTGAAGCTAAAGCATTTAAAGTGTAGTAGGAATGGGCTTTGTCTAACCAAGTTTGAGTATTATAGAAGACTTTATGGGCATCTTGTAAAGTCAATATATACTGATCAGTTATTTGACTTTCATAAAAGGTTGTCTTTAATGATGTAAATGTTAAGTCATTAAAATCAATCTGGGACGCTGTGATTTCATCCAGTTTTAAATCTGACAGATGCAATGTTAAATCAGATATCTTAGTCATTTCATCGGAGGAGTCAAGTAATCTTTCACGTGAAACTGAAAGTAGTAGAAGTCCATACTTAGCCCAACATCTTGAAACATCGGCACTTCTATTTCTAAAATTTTCCATTTTGGCTTCAAATTCTTCTGACTGTTCCTGAAGTATATTAAGTTGTTTTTCATATTCATCTAAAATAACAGAACTACTAGCTAAATGATGTCGTGCTTCTTTAAAGCCATTTCTTTCCATAAAAAACTGGGATAGAGTTGCTGCATTCAGTGCCCAATCAATACTATCATAATTGCCACTTTCTAATTGTCTTTTTAAAGTAATGTGACAGTAAATAGCACTTTTAAGAGCATCATTTAAACTGCCATATATTTGTGCAACATAATATAATGTTAATGTATAGACTTTTTCTAAGCTTTGTACACCAGTCTCAGAAGATTCAACATTTAATTTAAAAAGATCGTCAATATCATACGGAGTTAATGCTTTTTGCTTAAAATTATTATACAAAGATATTGCCTTTTCTAAATACAGTTTTGACTTTTTTGGATCTCTTTGTGACCATAGAATCCCAAACTGATTTAACATATTTAAGGAAACTAAAATTATTTCTGGCTCAGCTTCATATTTATCAACAATTTCTTGACACTGAATCAAACTCTTTTCACCTGCTGATAATTCTTCTGTATCAACGGCAATCATTCCCATATAAAGGTATGTTGCAGCAAGCATGCCTGAAACAGAAAAAAGAGATTCGCATAAATCCTTATTGTCTCAAATTTACTAGAATTACCAGTTAGTCTTAAATGTTCTTTAGTACCCACAATGCAATTCCGTAAAAGATTATCAATATTTGCTTTCATGGTAAGTAATAATTCTCTTGCCGTATATTTTGAAAGATAAGGTTCATTTTCAGGATCAGTCTTACAATCCTCTTCAATTAATTTTTTCACTTTGTTGTATTTATTTTGTATATCAATGAAAGATTCTCTAAATATAGTCATTATCCTTGAAGGGCTGATGTAACCAAGTGTGTTAACATACAAAAATTTTCATGCAGCTAGATAAATGTAAAATTAATTTATTTAAAACTGATTAACGTATCTTAATCACAATGTGATAATCTTAACATTTCAATTGATTTCAATCATAGATAATAGATCCACAAAGGAATTTCAATCATATTCATAGATAATATCATATTTCATTGTAAGCCCCATAGATAAGAGATATTGTGTATCAGAGATCAAGCACTCGAAAATGTTGCGCCACCTGGCAGTGGGACGTCCTAATTAAAGCAAAAAGCAGGCAATTCAAATGGGTTCCCTATTTGTTTTGTTATGTTTTAAAGGAAAATAAAAGATTAAGTGAAAAATTGACAAGAAGCAATTTTCTTAAAAATTTAAGATTTATTAGTGAATTCATTTTGAATTAATTTACCTACCACAGAAATTCACTAATATATTGAATTANAATGAAACACCCAAAAGTTAAGTTAGTTAATGTCAGGTAGGAATTGCAGCGGGCACTAATAAAGATAAACGAATAGCATTACACCAATTGATGTGTAACCAGAAAGAGATATAGACACCATGGACCAGGGTTCAATTTCCGGCAAGAGAGTGACAACAGTTATTAGTGAATTCATTTTGAATTAATTTACCTACCACAGAAATTCACTAATATATTGAATTAACGCTACAAAAATTATCACAAGTTTGATTATAACTTGACAATTTTTTACTTAATTATGTGAAACCGTAATAAAGAAATAAAAAATGAATAGCTGTTACATTGTTAACTGCGTAACAAAACATACAGTTACTACAAAGTATTCAATAAAAGTCAATAATTAGAACAAATAAAATTAATGCAGACTCTTTAGTAAACATAGATACACGATCTTTTGTAATTTAAAAGTAGAAATAATGTTCTGGTACAATGGTAAAATTAACATCAGTAGAGATGTAGCGTGGGTGACGGTAACAGATAAAAATGCCAGGCTTCAGTCTATTTGCGAGACTGGAACTAAGTAGATGATCTATTTGCGAGGGCAATAGTCAAAAGAAGATGAATCTATTTGCAAGATTGATTTATTTAAATATTTAAACATTATTTATACTATAATTATTTACATAGATTAAAAAATGTAAAATATCTATCTAGCAGTTTGATCTGTGTTGGATGGTTGACCTAGTTTTGGTCAATCCACGTAAATAACGGTAAATTAAACTAAGAAAGTTATAAAATACCACAAATGGCGCGGTAAACGCCATCTGTAGTACAATATGCTACATTTTAGGATTACGTATGCTCCAACAAGGCCCATTTAAATATATGGATATCTACTTGCCGCGATTCGCGTCTGGCAGTTTCGACAGAATACAGACTACTTGGAATTATTTTATTTAAGAAAGTTATATTCTCTGAAAATAACTTATGTTTAGCCAAACGTACAGTGGCGGATTATCCATAAGGCAAAGTAGGCATATGCCTAGGGGCGCAAGGTTAAAAAGGGGCGCGCGCGGAAGGTTCTAAACCTAAAAAGAAAATAAGGAAGAAGTACCTAATAAAAAAAAAGTATTTTGCAAAATATATGACAGCCGCCTCTGCAAACGTGGATGTAAAAATAATTATAATATAGTCAAATACAAACTACCTACTGTTTCTTATATCTGGTGTAACAGAAATAAATAATAAATTGATAATCGGGAATTCTCCATCTACGTAGCTGCAGAATTTTTATAACACTAGACCCTGATGTTGCCAACTTACCTACAGGACCAGCTTCGGATCTTCTTAAAAAAAATTGCCCTTAACCACGCTGTTGAACTCGCTGTGGGATTGTTTATTGCATCTAGTTTACATCCTCTAAAGCTCGACACTTATTTATTTCTGTTACACCCTGTATACATGTAATGCTGACTTTATGACTATTAAGAAGTGTAATGATAGAACAAACAAAATAGCTCAAACCCGAACACCAAAACACGACACTAGTTGTCCGAAGCACTTTTCGGTAACAAGGTTACTTTCTTCAGGGACTGGAGTGAACTAAGTTCAGAGACTGAAGTGAACTTAGTTATCTTACTTACCTTCCCATACAGCACATGAATATCCATAGGATGTTAAAAAAACATCCATCTTGGATTTTAAGGATATCTTATACAAATCCGTTTCATGTTCGGCGGACGTCTTCAGGATGTAGTATGGATAGACGAATGTCACAGTTTCGTATATTCATAAAACATCCACAAAGGACGTTTGAAAAACATACGAACGGGACATATATAGGACATTTTAGGAATGATATATATGTATTGTATATAATGTATATATATATTTGCTATCATATTTTTTGATGGAATAGGCTGTCTCTTTATACAAACGCATATAAATCTCAACCTAACTTTATTGCATACAAACAAAACAATATCTTATTTGAACATTATGAATAAATACAAGGCATTACAATAAGGAATTTCCTTTATTTTTTGTGATTAATCGTTCTTTTGCTCTTCGTAAATAATTTTTAATCGCTTCTTCTAGATCCTTGCTTGAACAACTAGATGTTGCCTGATTTAATCCAGCAGCATCTGTGGAATAGAAAAGAAACATATTAATAGTTTTTTAAAAAATATTAGTATGTAACTTATGATTAATCATACCTATCTAAATTTACTTAATGAAAACTTATAATCTTATTTTATTAATTAGTAACTTANAAAAGCAGGCAATTCAAATGGGTTCCCTATTTGTTTTGTTATGTTTTAAAGGAAAATAAAAGATTAAGTGAAAAATTGACAAGAAGCAATTTTCTTAAAAATTTAAGATTTATTAGTGAATTCATTTTGAATTAATTTACCTACCACAGAAATTCACTAATATATTGAATTAACGCTACAAAAATTATCACAAGTTTGATTATAACTTGACAATTTTTTACTTAATTATGTGAAACCGTAATAAAGAAATAAAAAATGAATAGCTGTTACATTGTTAACTGCGTAACAAAACATACAGTTACTACAAAGTATTCAATAAAAGTCAATAATTAGAACAAATAAAATTAATGCAGACTCTTTAGTAAACATAGATACACGATCTTTTGTAATTTAAAAGTAGAAATAATGTTCTGGTACAATGGTAAAATTAACATCAGTAGAGATGTAGCGTGGGTGACGGTAACAGATAAAAATGCCAGGCTTCAGTCTATTTGCGAGACTGGAACTAAGTAGATGATCTATTTGCGAGGGCAATAGTCAAAAGAAGATGAATCTATTTGCAAGATTGATTTATTTAAATATTTAAACATTATTTATACTATAATTATTTACATAGATTAAAAAATGTAAAATATCTATCTAGCAGTTTGATCTGTGTTGGATGGTTGACCTAGTTTTGGTCAATCCACGTAAATAACGGTAAATTAAACTAAGAAAGTTATAAAATACCACAAATGGCGCGGTAAACGCCATCTGTAGTACAATATGCTACATTTTAGGATTACGTATGCTCCAACAAGGCCCATTTAAATATATGGATATCTACTTGCCGCGATTCGCGTCTGGCAGTTTCGACAGAATACAGACTACTTGGAATTATTTTATTTAAGAAAGTTATATTCTCTGAAAATAACTTATGTTTAGCCAAACGTACAGTGGCGGATTATCCATAAGGCAAAGTAGGCATATGCCTAGGGGCGCAAGGTTAAAAAGGGGCGCGCGCGGAAGGTTCTAAACCTAAAAAGAAAATAAGGAAGAAGTACCTAATAAAAAAAAAGTATTTTGCAAAATATATGACAGCCGCCTCTGCAAACGTGGATGTAAAAATAATTATAATATAGTCAAATACAAACTACCTACTGTTTCTTATATCTGGTGTAACAGAAATAAATAATAAATTGATAATCGGGAATTCTCCATCTACGTAGCTGCAGAATTTTTATAACACTAGACCCTGATGTTGCCAACTTACCTACAGGACCAGCTTCGGATCTTCTTAAAAAAAATTGCCCTTAACCACGCTGTTGAACTCGCTGTGGGATTGTTTATTGCATCTAGTTTACATCCTCTAAAGCTCGACACTTATTTATTTCTGTTACACCCTGTATACATGTAATGCTGACTTTATGACTATTAAGAAGTGTAATGATAGAACAAACAAAATAGCTCAAACCCGAACACCAAAACACGACACTAGTTGTCCGAAGCACTTTTCGGTAACAAGGTTACTTTCTTCAGGGACTGGAGTGAACTAAGTTCAGAGACTGAAGTGAACTTAGTTATCTTACTTACCTTCCCATACAGCACATGAATATCCATAGGATGTTAAAAAAACATCCATCTTGGATTTTAAGGATATCTTATACAAATCCGTTTCATGTTCGGCGGACGTNACATTTTAGTAGTACGTAATTTATTAATAATTTTATAATACACGCGTATATCTGATAATATCTGCTGATATCCATTGGATATCCGATGTATGTCCTATAAAGACATCTGTACACATGTCCAATGAGGATATACATAGTATGTCCTCCACTAATCCCTTTAGGAAATTGGACATGATGGACGCAATAGGGACGTAATCGTACATCCATAGGATATTGCGTGCTGTATGGGTTAGTAACCTTGTTACTGAAAAGTGCTTCGGACAACTAGTGTCGTGTTTTGGTGTTGGGGTTTGAGCTATTTTGTTTGTTCTACAACAACCGCCAATGTTTTTCCAATCTTCATAAGTGTAATGATAGTTCTCTAATAAAATTGGATATTGAGGATAAGTACCCTAGCGTGGCCTGTACCTTACCTTTTAGTCGCCCCCGATCTCTCGCCTCATTGTTTTTTTTTTGTTTTCGTGGAGGAGAGGAAATCTTCAAAAGACACCCGGTCGCCCGCGCGACCGGGTAGTGTCGGATTCATCCCGTAAGACGCCGACCGACTAAAACCTCTCCCCCTCAGGCCATTCTAGGGCCGCGAAGCCCTCTCAGCCGCATGGTTTACTTATTACTGTGATTAGTATTTAATGAGTTGGGTGAGTGTCTGAGCACTGCCCAGTAGTTGTAGTAGTATTTCGATTGGTGTACTAGCGTTTTCAAGTTGGTTTGCTAGCTTTATTATCGCCGTCTTTATTTGTAACAAGTTGATTTTCC